GGGGTGGGGTGGGGTGGGTAGGGATGTGTAAAGGAGTAAGCAGAGGAGGAATGAGGCAGGGACCTTGTCACTGATTGTTGGTGATTGTTGGATCTTGGTATAACCTTTCGCTAGCGCTTTTTGCCTATCACATTTGGCTCCAAAAAAACTTGTTTGGAAATAGGTATACTTTTATGTGTAATAATTAAAATTAATAAGGCCGTGTTGCCCGCATTTTGCAATGAATGTTCTAGAACTGTGACGGCTTTGGCATTCCCAAAAACAAATACTTTACTTGGGCTACCTGTGGTATTGTTGTCATGACGGTTGCAGGACATTGTTGTCAAGAAAGTAAAGCCAAAATTAGAAGCATAAATTGTTATTTTAAATTTATTATTTATAGTGATTTTTCTTGGGTTGTGAGAAATTCATAATTGTAGACGCTATTTCCACTTTTTTGTTTTGTCTTACTTCGATAAGATAGAAACATTACTTTGAATTCAAGAATTTAAACATGCGAATCGAGATTATTTCGTGAGCGTATTTTTTCCCCTAGGTCTGTTTAACTATTTTTCTTATTCACAACAAAATTCAATATACAATTATTAATAAAATAATGGATTTTTGGTTCAGTCCTAAACCGTTCTCGCGTCTTATTCAGAAAGAACAGATATCCTTATTTACGTGACTTGTGATACTTGTCATCTTGGTAATGGGAATGTCAAACATAGTAATTATATRATGACTATAGATGCAGAGAATCCTCTAGAATATTCAATCTTGATAAATATAAAATTACTGACAGTTATGGCATTTCAATTCAAGAAATGTTAAGAGACATAAAAAATAATCTTTAAAAAAGGAAAATTGAATAAAACAAATTAAATGATTCTATTGATGATTATAATCAACTTGTCCAAAATGGGACATCAAGATTATCGTAACATAATTGTTATTGAAGAAAATTATCGAATAATTTGCTTGAAAAAGATCAACAACCAATGGAAAGAGGATTCGCCGAATCTTTAATGAGAGGGAAGAATGATAAATTTCAAATTGAAAACAAACAAGAAAATAAACTGAATAAAAGACAACGGTTGCATCTAGATTTCTGAACTTGATCTGATCAAAAATATGTGTGTTGCCGAAGAAAGCTTCAAAACCGGCTTTCACATCTAGATTGTGTATAGGAATCAATTTGGAATTCAGAAATGTTTAAACAAAATATTGGAATGGCGTTCGATTTTGCTATTTTAGCATTATTTTGAAGATGATTTGTGATCGGTGAGTAAAGTTTTTATAGTTATAATTAAGAATAACTCTTTGATTTTTTGGTTGAATCGCATAGATGGAAGTCGAAAACTACAGCGGATACTGCAATACTGACTACGACGACGACAAACTCTCACACACAAAAAAATGTTTGATCGACACCAATTCTTCTGTCATAAAACTTTATTTATTGAATCATATTATCATAATCAATAATTTAAAGCCTGTTTAAAATGCGCTTGCATTGATCGTAAGAGCCTTTCAAATGCTATTTCACATTGCGTATAGCCGAGTTTTTTTGACAAATCCCAAAGTTTTGAAAGATTTGTGGTCAACCGGAAAATTCATTTTGTATGGACATAATTTAAATTGTCTCTGACTTATAGTTTCTAAAACTTTAAAGGTTCCAGCTTCATTTGAGCTTTCTTCAGTAAAGAAATGTCGTTAGCCAACTTTGTTTGACGCTCAGTCATTTTTTCGTTTATAATAGCCTTGGTTTTTTCATATGGTTTGGGTTCGTTTTGAAAGCCATTATTTTGATTGTGGGTATGAAATGGTGTTGTCTTTGTATAACAGGCCAGAGAAAGTTTGTTTAAATATTTTTTTTTTCAAAATAAAGATCATATGGCCGAAGCACGCGTGACTGGTGGGTGGTCATCAACTCCTCTATGAAACTAGTGAGTTCACACCGTCCCGCTATCTCCACCATAATGGCTTTCTCAGTCAGCTGGTTCTCACAGTTAGTGTTTCTAAGGGGTTTTCTTCCCAAAAAAATGTCGACTTGAATCTGTTAAAGGGGAACAAATTGTATAGTTGCTTTGTCCTTTTCGAGGACTTTGGCCGAATAAAAACCCTCGATGTAAAACTAGCTGGTAAAACCGTAAATGATGTCGCTTTTATCAGTTAAAACATATTAACGATGTTTAAAATTATTACTTAATAAAGTCCAACCTCAACCATTTGATTGGCAAGAGTAGAGAAGAAAGAGCCGAAAGGAGAAGAGAGAAGAAAAAAACAGAAACTAGGCAGAGGAGACGAGAAAACAAGAAAAACAAAAAACAAAACACACACACACACACACACACACACACACAAAAAGAAGAAGAAGAAGAAGACATGAGAAAAAGTGACAAAAACAAGGCTAGAGGGAAAAAAAAGAGAAGACAAGTGAATATACTTTTAGGACTGTTTCGTTATCTATTTACATTGAGTAATGTTTCATATTTTTCAATACACAAATGTGTGGAGTCTTGATTCTGAACTTAAATGAACTGATGAAAATCTAAATATATATTTGTGTTGCATGACTTAAGCCTTGGTCAATTGCATATAACTCTCAGTGAGAAACTGAACGGGGAATCTATTGTTTACGTTCAACCGTAGTCAACTCTTAGCAGGAACGTTTGAAATCAAGAACCGGCACAAATCAGCAGAGAAATGCCAACCTAGTTTTTGTATACAGTTCAGTATACAACATGTTTCGTCCAATTAAATGTATTCTTTAAAAAAGTTGACCTTTTAACTAAATCAAGGTCAGTAAGATATTAATTCTCAATAATGTAAAACTCTGTAAAAGTTTACTCATATAACTATTTTCAACGGTTGCGAAAATAGAAAATACTCAGTGATGTATATCCCAAGTACATACACATGTTATCGACTTTTTCTCACTAAGATCAAGCTTTACTTTTTGTTCTTTGCATATTTCTTTATTTTGCATCATTTACAAAATGTTCCACCTTAGTAAAAGCGGCGTTTTTTCTCGATCGTTAGCACGTAGAGACATTTACAAATGACAAAAGAATTCTTTAAAATTCTAAATATCGAAACAATTAAAGGCATTAAAATTAAAGCATTTTTAGAAGGCATGCTGTTATGATAATGAACGCAAGTTACGACCCCACTCTGAAATCTTTCATTGCGGATTCGTTTCTAGAACGATGCTCGGCAAAGAATTCCAATTTCGCGGCATGGGGATTACAATAAAGCGAGCTCAAACATCCGTAACAATTTCCTTCAGTTTACAAATCTCCTTCCGCAGATTTCATGCATCTCTGAAGTGAGTTTATACCAGGAAAACTTAATTTCAAGGACAGAAGAAAAGTCGAATCTATAACCGGCCGATAGCTTTTAGTTGTACTTAACCAGCGCAAAAGGTAAAATGTATGTTTGAATTTACAAAATAACTGTATTTTTTTTACCTCATATGATGCGAATTCTTAACTTTAATATAGTAAAGAAGTTAAAAAAAACTCTTCTAGTTAAAACTGATTAAAGAGTAAATGTAAGAAAAACAAAATCGAAAACGATAAATGGTTGCAACTATATATCCAACGACTGTACGTCGTTCAAAAGTAGTTTAGCTCAACTTAAAAGTTCTGTGAACTCATGGTTCAGCACACCAAGACTAAGAAAACCTTTTTATTTAATTCTGCAGCATTCTTATAAAAACTCCTACATTTTTCAACACCAATAAAAATTAAATCCTTTCAACTGGAGCCAAATTTCATGATAATAATTAATTACAACCAATATTCCCTGCGAGGACGCGTCGATCCACACATAAACGACACTACTACTAATAAATCTTAGTACAATCTTGAAAACACACCATACTCCATTCGTGATCTTGTTATTTTCAATGTTTGATCGAATTTTAATTTTATCATTGATTTTTGATAACGATAATTTACTTAAAATACTGGATAAGTGCTAAGAGCTCAATAAAGAACTGTTTTTTATTAAGAGATTTTAATTCCAAATTTTTTAAAGGATTTGTACATGGTTTATTTAACTCTCGACTGATAATTACTTTACTTTAATGGCAAATTGAAAATTAAAATTGTCGATTTTATCTACTTTATACAACATTTCAGAACAATGTCGTTAGTGCTACTTGTTTTGTTCCTATGGTTACCAAACCTAGTGCAAGAACTCGGAGGTGTAATCAATGTTCCTGAAGGTAAGACCAATAGAACACAATATATGATATACAATTTATAAGTTGGCTGCTGAAAAGAAATTAACAGACAACCTATATACTTGTTAGTTCTTTATTTTTGCTAAAACTAACAAAAAAA